CTTACAGATCATGTATGCCATCATAATTAAACAAAAACACGGTTTATCCTTCAAGAAAAGGTCAATTGCACTCTATGTTTTTATTGAGCTAGTGAATGACCCCTTAACAGATTTCTATGGTTCGTGAGGCATCATCTTCCCTAGATGTCATAGTAGCTCCAAAATATCTTAATACTTCAAAAGTATAATTGAAAATAAAGGAGAAACATATAGCCCATTACACATACAAACCAGCTGAAAACACTTAAATTACTGAATCAACACCAAGCTCAATGCTCGAACCTAACCACGAGCACTTTCAAAATTATACAGTTGGCTCATATTATATTTCAACCATAAAGTTCACGAGAAAAAAAGAAGATATGCACCTGAAAATTAGCTTTCCGATTAATTGAAGTGCAGCAATTACACGGATTGAAACGAAGCGACAATTACAGTCAGAAATCGACCCAGCTTCAAACGAAATTAGTAAAAATCAAACCGGAAAACCAACGGACAGTACCTCGACGCCTCCGGCGACCTCGAATCTGAACTTCCGATGAAACACAAATTTATTCACAACACTATTTCGACGCTTGACTAATAGACATGGACTCAACCAGAAAACGCAGCAGCGCCAGAGGTCGCCGGCGACCTTTGAGTTTACCCGGAATCTCCAACTGAAACAACGCCCAACAAAAATGGGGATTTAGACCTCATAACTTACATGAATGGGGGTTGTTAAGTTTGGTTTTCACTGAATTTTGACATGAATTGGGAGATGATTTCGTGGGATTTCAGGGAGGGATTTGGCGTGGAATGGAGATGTTTTCCAGGGCAGCTTCGTGGTGGACTTGAAGAAGAAGATCAGAAAAGAAGGTGGGGGTCCTTTTTTGAGAAATTGCGGCGCTTTTTCAGTGTATATCCCCGGCGTTATTTGTTGCCTCCGGTGTGTTTGTGGTGTAGGTAGTATTATATAGGGTAGGGATTAGGTTAGGAGTATGGGCCTAGGAATTATGGGCTAGGGATTTTGGGCCAAAGACTAAAAAGATGGACTATAAGATTTATAAAAACGGGATAAACCAACCTAAAACTAATTCTTTCTTCTAAAATTATGTACAATTATAATATAAAAATATAAAACTAATTTTAATTAATTGAACTAAACTATAAAACATAAAATTAATGTTTTTTTTGTGTTTTCAAGATTATAAAAATAAAGATAGGGTACTATTTTTGTATATTTTTTTTTAAGATTAAAAACGACTATAAAATATTAATAAACCTATTNTTTTCAAGATTATAAAATTAAGATAGGGTACTATTTTTGTATATTTTTTTTTAAGATTAAAAACGACTATAAAATATTAATAAACCTATTTTTTGTAATTTTTCATTTTCTTGTAATAAAATAAAGTAAAATAGTAAAAATTAGTTGAAATGGCGATATTAGGCCTAAACTAAATATTTACATGCTAAAATGAGTAAAATTTCGGGGAGGGTCAAAAATCACATGTCAACAGCAGTCGACCTCCCCATCCGAGTTTCTCAAACTACAGTCAATGGAATCCACTCATCGAGCTCGGCCAAGGCCCGACCTCAATAAGCGGAGGGACTAACTGTATGGGTCAGAATCCGACCCCACGATAATTAACGAAGCTAATCTCGTCTTAAGCTAATTCATGATTAATTAGTGGTACGGCCACTCAGAATGAACGATATTCAACCCACATCTGGTTCGATCAGCAAGGCCATGGCCTATCCGCCACCATGAAGGCGAAATCCCAACGTGGTCACGGCCACTTATTGCCAGCTCACGAAGCTCACAGCTATAAATACCAAGAGAGGAAACCCTAGAAAGGGGGGTCTTCTTCTTGACCACTATTGAGAGAGAAAAAAGAGAGAACGATACCCAAATTATGGGCAAGAGGAACACCATTGTAAGGCTCTGAACCTCTTCATGGAGAGGCAGACCAAACCAATATTATCAATAAAGGCTTCTAATGTTTCTCCCCCTAATCCTGAGTACTTATTTTCGTTTTCTTCATTTGGTTCAACGGATTATTACGATTTGCTATGATTTTCCCGTGATTTATTTATATTGTTTTATACTCATAAGGTATGTAATAACTTTTGAGTCAAACAACTCTAATTAAGTAAGAATAATGGGATTCCAACATCGCACCAGATTGTAATTTATTTTAATTTGCACGTGGACTAACGATATCCAATAGGTTGAATCTTTTTGGATCTACGTGCCAATTACTGTTCTGACCATTTATACGTTACGTTCAGATTAAATTCAGGGAATATTATATAAGTAAATAAGTAATTCGGATGTTAAATTAAGCTCGAGAAGATACAAAATTTTGTAAGGTTGTTTCGGTATAAGGGTAGCTAGCTAGCTTACAAAATTGCAGTTAATTATTAAAGGTGGCTTAGGGTGAAAACAAAGAGGGTAAAAGAGTTAACAGAACTCAAAGGGGTTTTGAATAAAGCCATCTTTTTCAATTTCAAGGGAAGTTTGTTTGTCGATGAAAGTTTGTTTGGCTTTAGCTATTGTTGAAGTTAATGACTTTGCTTAATTTAATCAGTTAATTCCTTTTCTAAGTTAGTTGGAGACTCTTCGTTCTTATGTTCCTATCCTTGTTCACTTGTCTCTAGAACTTTAATTTGTCATGGCCCTCGAAATATTCGCAACGAAAAACAAAAACAAAAACAAAAAAAGAGGGAAGAAAAAAAGAGAGAGAAACTGGATTTTATACATCAATTATAAGATGTTCACATATAATTGTTGTACAAGAGCAAATTTTTCAGACATATTTTGTTGAGATGTAGAGTTTCACCCAATTTTATACCCTTCGTGTTTCATTTTATATGAACCTATGGCAAGTGAAATAAAGTTTTTTTTACCATGATTTTGTACATACTTTTTATAATATTTTGAATTATTAGCTGTTGTGACTTATACAAGACTTTTTATATAATTTCTAACTATGTAAATTTTACTTCAATTTTTTTTTAAAATTCTATGTCTGATTCACACAAAAAGTAGTCAATTTAATGCTCATACTTCGAAAAGATTCACATAAACTGAAAGTATGATCTAGTGTCGCGATCTTTTGCTTGAACTGTGGTAGATTTTTTTGTTAAAAAATATTTGCTTTAAATTAATAGTAGGCATTATTATAGATGAATTATTGCGAGTGATACTCTGTATTTATATATTTAAAGTTTTATTTGTTGTGTTTAAAAAGATGTCACAAGATATCACCACACCACAGCTTAAAAAGAAACCCTAAACATCCGGTATTTTTATGTGTATAGCTATAGTTAACTACTTTCCGGTTGTATAAACCCCAATAAGCATGCAAGTAGGTTTAAACAGGTGACCAAATAGAGAAAAACACAAAATGAATATAAATGTTCTCCTTAAAAATAAATACTAAGCAGGATGGAGGTCAAGTTAGGGGGTGGGTGTGTTAGTTGAGTTGGGTAACCATTGAATACATGTATAGGCAATTGTATAAATTAGCTCACCTTACAAAAACCATAGCTATTAAATTATTAATTCTATAAACAAAGAAAAAAGACGAAAAATACTATAATCGTTCTTTATACACTTTTCACTGCTCATAGTTGCAATGCGTCAAGCTAATATTGAAGACTTGAATCAATTAATGCATGCGATGACAACTACCAAAATGTGCTAGTATATTTGGTAGGTTATTAATTTCTTGCTTTAATTTCAGGTTAAAGTCCTATGAGCTGCGGCAGAGCAAGGTGGCCAGAAGAGGGTTCAGCTGAACCCCTTTTGTCGAAAATCAATTATATATAATGTTAATTAGAGGCGGAGCTAAGATTTGAACTTTATGGCTTCAGGATTATAATCTTTTTAAGTTACTGGGTTCTAAATTAATAAATTATACATATTCAATGAATTTTCTAAGTAGGCGTTTGGACTTAAGAATTGTAAAATTCCAAAAAATTGTGGAAAAAAATTTTCAAGTGAAAATGGTATTTGAAATTTAGAGTTGTGTTTGGACATAAATTTCAGTTTGGGTTGTTTTTGAAGTTTTGTGAGTGAAAATTTTGAAAAACAGCTTTTTGGAGTTTTTCAATTTTTCGAAAATTTCCAAAATGCATCTTCAAGTGAAAATTGGAAATTTTATGAGCAAACGCTGATTTCGAATAAAATGAAATTTTTTTTGGAAAAAAAGAAAAAAAAAATTATGTCCAAACGGACTCTAAGACAAATGCATAGTTTGAACAAAAGCTATTGGGTTCGGCGGAACCCGCATAACGCACTCTGCCTCCGCCCCTGATGTTAATACATACACACACACCCATACACATACACACGCGCGCGCGCACACATATAGAAAGAGGGGGGAGGAGAGCGAGAGAGCTTCTTCTCTTTTTTTTTTTTTTTTAATTTTTTGAATCTCCTTGATAAAAATCCTGTTTTCCTCACTGTCCATGAGTAAACGTAACTTTAAAAAAATATATCTAGAGCAGCTACATAGTACATGGTTTTAGTATATTAAAGACAAGTTATAATATTGCCATTGGCAACTTAAAAAGGTTTACTAAACATTTCTGAATTTTGTATACGAATAAGACGAGTATGTTACTGTAATACACCTCTTCGATTGATCCAAAACAAACGCACCTATTAATGTAGGTAAATTCCATTAGAAGAGACATGATTTGTGCTGTAAGTAATAATTTTGATTTAATTAATCAGCATGATATTGGCTTTTGTGATCCCGTAATTTCATATACCTGCTTTAAGCTCCACGCTTGGGTATTCTCTGAAATAAATAATAAATAAACAAAATAAAAAATACTGTTAAAAACAATAGTAATAAAATACTAAGAGTAAGTTATTAAGCAATCATATAATTTTACCTTATCCTGTCATTATAGTATCATAATCAATTTTCAGGGTACAAGCCATAAAGGCTAAAAGCACAAGTTTTCACTGCGTTTCCTTTTTTATCACTTCGAAAATGCACTACAGTGGTACGACAGTTATGCTCGCAAATCTTTCCTTCAGGTCCCACTTTCTCTCTCTCTTTCTCTCTCTCCTCCGCGTATATTTTCGTCGGACGTTCGTAACGGTCATATTTTCCGATATATCTTTCTCTCTCTAAAAACTACCAATGTAATAATCTCTACACATAAATACACGCATTAATATACATAATTTTCCGCTTAATCTTCGTAGTTTGCACTGATTACTCTATAAATTCAGCTGAATTTTTGGAGAATTAGGGTTTTAAGATAGTGAAATGAAAAGTTTCCGGAGAGATGTGAAGATTGTGTGAGAGTAGCAATGGTAGCTGCCGTATCAACAACGAAGCTAAATCCTAAGGTTACGTCGAATTGTTCGAGTTATCAGAATCCGAAAAGGCCGCCATTGTTGCCTTCAGAAGCTGAGAATAATGGACGTTCTAGAAGACCGAAAACCAAAGAGGTTAGTTCTCGGTACCTTTCGACTTCTTCTTCATCTTCCGTCTCAACGACGTCGTCGAATAATACTTCGACTACTTACTCTTCGTCGTCAAACTCCGTTGCCTCATTGCGGAGTCAATCGCCGATGCTGACTAGGAAGGTTCGACCGGTTGCGACGCCGGTTCGGGATCCCGGTTCGGTTAAACGGTCCCAATCAGTGGACCGGAGACGGCCTGTGACGCCTGTATCAACAGAGACGTCTACTGCGGCAAAGCAGCTATTGAATTCCAGTAGGAGCTTATCCGTTTCGTTTCAAGGTGAGTCATTATCTATACCTGTCCGTAAAGCAAAACCTGCTCCTGCAACGAACAATCTTGGTAGTACTGTAAGGAAGGGTACGCCGGAGAGAAGGAAAGTCACGGCGGAGTTTGTCACGCCGGAGAGGGGGAAAATTGCGGCAGCTGCAGAGTTACTTAAGCCGGTGAGAGGAGATCGGACTGAAAATGTAAAGCCGAGTGATCAGCATAGGTGGCCGGGGAGGTCAAAGTCACTGAATTCAAGTTTTCTTACACGAAGCATGGATTGTGGTACTACTGACGAGCCAAAATTTGGATCTGAAAGTGTCATTAAGTCATCGATGAAATCGGTAATTGGCATATATCACAGAGCTAGAATTGAAAGTAAATTGAAACCTCAAAGTGTTAATGATGAGATTGATATGAAGTCAGCTTATGGATCAACTATATCTGTTGATGCATTGGCTTCAGATAGTGAAAGTGTCTCTTCAGGGAGTACTACAGGTGTCCATGATGGTCCAATTGTGACTCAAGGGCGAGGAGGTCCACGAGGTATAGTTGTGCCTGCTAGGTTTTGGCAAGAGACTAACAACAGGATCCGACGAGGGTCAGAACTTGGTTCTTCTGTGGAGAAAAATGGTACATTGAAATTAATGACTCCTTCAAAGCAAATTGGTAATAAGAAGTTTCTGATTGATAGCCCCACAACATCACCTCGGGGTGTCCCAGCTTCTAAAGGTTTATCTTCTCCTCGAGGGGGTCTAAGACCAGCGTCACCAAATAAGGCATTGATATCTCCTTTAAGAAGGATGCCAAGTCCTACAATAACAAGAAATGGTATTATGGGTTCAATATCTAATAATTCATGCATCATGCCCTCAATTTCGAATTTTGCTGCTGATGCAAGAAGAGGGAAGGTAGGGGAGAACCGGATAGTTGATGCACATGAATTAAGGCTTTTATATAATCGTCACCTTCAATGGCGATTCGTCAATGCGCGAGCAGAAGCTGCACTAAAGGCACAGACAACAACAGCGGAGGTAAAACTTTTTAACATGCTTTTCATTCTCTAAATTTTGCTGATGACGAGTTCATATACAATTTGTTTTTTGTTCAACAATTTACAAAGAACCGGAAACATCATCTTGGATTTTATTATCAGTTGCGAACCTTTGTAATGAGTGATATTTGTGGAAATGAAATCAATCTATCAACTATGGCTCAATTCCAAATTAGTTGAGGTTGGATTTATGGTCTATATCTATTCCACCTAATTTAGCTCATTTAATTCCAATACTGGTAAAGCTAAGAGTAATTAGAGAGATGAAAATTTGCCATTAATGGTGAAGGATTATCTCGGATCAAATTAAATAAGGAGAGTATATGAGGAATTCAGTTCACGGTTTAGATGAAGTGCACTAGAAATACCAGTAGACTAAAACTTAGGAGATTCACTTTTCTGTTTCAATTTTCAAGTAGATATAGAAATACCTCAACCAGCGGTGGTGTGGTTATACTGTTCAAAGTACGTGATTGAACGGGATAATAAATATATCTTTCTTTCTTATCTATAACATCCTATACTTGAGGATTAGTTCCTATTCAGGGTTTTCTCTGATTTGATGATTTATCCCAGGGGAATAGTTAATACCGGTATAAACTCCAATACTTAATAAATACATGATACGCGTTGTTCTTTTTTACTTGGAACGTTAATTGCTAAGCAGACATGTTTTGCGTATGTTGAATCAAAGCCTAAGACAGTAATTTCTTCTTAAACTTATTCACTTACTTTCACATGTAAATGTAATAAAATCACGTATCATTCTTAACAATGTGAAAAACCAAACTTCAAATTTTAGAATGAAAACTGTAAAATGTGTAGCCACAGTTCATTGTCGAGTTAAATTTAAAATACAAATCAACCCGCATTAGTGTAAGTTTCTTCTACCCAGGAATTTACAGTGTAAACAGAAACTCAGTTGTGGTTTATATTAGAATCTGTGAAGATTTGGTGTCAATAATGTGAAATTGTCTTTTTTACCAGAGGAACCTGTACAATGCTTGGTTAACTACTTTAAAATTGCGGCATTCTGTTAAGTCCAAAAGAATTCAGCTGCTGCTGTTGCGGCAAAATGTGAAGCTATATTCCATCCTCAAAGGACAAGTAAGCCCTCTTTTCAGTTCTTTTTCTCTTCAAACCAAATTATTTTCAGACATATAGATAGACATCAAAAGGATGCTTTTATAGATACACATACATCGATGAGATAACCACTTCTTGCTTGTAGATCCACAAAGTCATGTATGCATTTGAAAAGGAAAAACAAGAAACAAAGATGAAAAGAATAAAAGTTTACTCGCTATGTAGGAAGAAAACTGAAGGCCGGGGGGTTTGGGGAGGGGGCAATGACATGGAAATTATTGGAGTAAATACATGATGTTTGGTTGATTTGCTGTTAACTGGTGGATAATATATTGTTGAAGGAAAAACCTCTGCCAATTTCATTTATTATGCGCCCTGTTATATCTCAAATTGGTGTTCATGATGCACCTGAGGTGTACCTGCTGCCTAAGTTGGCTGATAATTTTTTATTTGGTGTGAAATGAAAAGTATATATACTTTGTTTGATTTCGTATACTAGCTTTTATATTGTTTACTTGATTTGTTTATTTTTTGTTTATAAATAAACTTCAACCTTCACTTATTGTCATTTTCTCTTTTATGGACAAATTCAGGGGCCGTGTTTGGATAGTTGGAGTATGATTGATGGAGATCATCGCAATGCATTGTCAGGAGCTATATGTGCTCTGGAAGCCAGCACTAGTCGTCTCCCTGTTGTGGAAGGAGCTAGGGTACTTTTTCCTTTTCATTCTAATTGAAATGATCTTTTATGCAAATTCTGATTGCATTCTTTTACCTATTGATATTAGTCTTTCAGGAATAATGGTTTCCGGTTCTATTATCTGCAGGCAGAAGTTCAAAATGTGAAAGATTCAATTTCTTCAGCCGTTGATGTGATGCAGGCAATGGGATCCTCAATGTGTTCTTTGCTTCCAAAGGTAATTATTCTTTCTTTGAATGATCAAATGTAAATGCTCGGGGTTCTTTCTGGTTATGGCTAATAGACTAGTATCGGTTTTCAAGGGGGTGAGGGGAAAGAAGGCTGTGAACTCTCCCAATTTGCATAGCCACCTATTTTTACTAGGATGTGTCTTACCTGCTATGCGAAAGTTGTACTCTAATGCATAAAGAATATCTACACTGGTCAACTGCATGCTTTCTTGTGTTCTAACTTGCTTAGAAAGCATTTAAAATCAGTAAAATATGATCTATCTGTTTTCAACGGGGTGAGGGGAAGGAAGGAGGTTGTGAACTCTCCCAATTTGCATAGCCACCTATTTTTACTAGGGTGTGTCTTATCTGCGATGAGAAAGTGGTACTCTAGTGCATACAAAATATCTATACTGGTCAACTGCATGCTTTCTTGTGTCCTAGCTTGCTTAGCAAGCATTTAAAACCAGTAAAAGATGATAAAACCGAGGTGCGCAATAATAGTAGGTCTTACTAGAATAATTTCAAATTACTTTTAAAGTTTTGTTTAGTTTGGTGTTTTCTCTTCTTTTCTTTTTTTCTTTTTTTTCCTCTTTTCCCCCTTGAAGTTTATCTATGTTTTTTTGCACAAGACTAAGAAGCCGGGGAAAGAAAGCACGCAGAGAGATGCTTGCTATCATTTTTTTTTTTACCTTAAGTTTGTGCAATCTTGTTAGAAGTCCTGGCAACTAAGGTTGGGACCTAGAAGTCGAGGAAGTCGGAATAAAGATAAGGGTGACCAGGTTTCAAAGCCAAAAAACTGGTGACGTCTTTCCATATGCAAAAGTTTTGGTGGGAAGAGTTACCCGATATATGTACAGGTGGGAGATATTGGAATGGGGGGAAATCGTCAAGGTGTGTGCAAGTTGATCCGAACTCCGCCATAATTAAAAAGATCGTCTTAATAGTCCTGCAAATATTCCCTAACAAAGGAAAAAATGTGTTGCCTCAACCATGGAGAATCTGTTTCAACATGTGAAAGTGTTCCTAAACAATATGCGGTAGCACTTATTTTGTTGCAGAAATGCATTAAATGAAGAATGAGAGCTAAATTGTTTATAGAAAAGCGGGACCCTTACCACTGTTTTGGAAGGTGTTTGGGGCATGTCCTAAGGCGCCTCGTTGGCAGAACATCCTGAGACAAGTGAGGTAGGTACCGCCCCATCACTTGGGCATACGCCGCCAGTGCACCTCATGCCTCAAGAACGATGTGATGCTTGGAAATATCAGTTTAAAATCTGAAAATATTAACCTCAGTGCCAGATGGGATGAGGTTTGGGTGAAAGATAAAGGGTTGATTGTTATGACAAGGAAGAAGGCAAAAGATTTGAGTGTAAGTGGAGGAAGAAACAGAAGCAAAGAAGTCCTCGTGGGAGGACGAATGAGGTCTGGGTGAAAGATAAAGGGTTGATTGCATGTCCTAAGGCGCCTCGTTGGCAGAACATCCTGAGACAAGTGAGGTAGGTACCGCCCCATCACTTGGGCATACGCCGCCAGTGCACCTCATGCCTCAAGAACAATGTGATGCTTGGAAATATCAGTTTAAAATCTGAAAATATTAACCTCAGTGCCAGATGGGATGAGGTTTGGGTGAAAGATAAAGGGTTGATTGTTATGACAAGGAAGAAGGCAAAAGATTTGAGTGTAAGTGGAGGAAGAAACAGAAGCAAAGAAGTCCTCGTGGGAGGACGGATGAGGTCTGGGTGAAAGATAAAGGGTTGATTGTTATGACAAGGAAGAAGGCAAAAGATTTGAGTGTAAGTGGAGGAAGAAACAGAAGCAAAGAAGTCCTCGTGGGAGGACCTTCTGTAACAGCCCAACCCGCTAGTGATATTGTCCGCTCTGGGCCTAGGCCCTCACTGGTTTAAAATGCGTCACTAGGGTCTAAGGCTTGTTAACTTATATACCCAGCATCCCTCTTGTGTTTTGCCGATGTGGGACTCTGTCTAAAGTCTGGAGTGTTACATACCATATGTAACACCCCAGCCCGCTAACCCAGAGTGGACAATATCACTAGCGGGCTGGATTGTTACAGATGGTATTAAAGCCACTCTTGTGTCAGCCTTGCCGATGGTGGGTCAGAGTTCAACTGAGTTTAGGCAAATCCCGATTAGGCGGGACAAACCTCAGTGCTGAGTCTAGGCGAATCCCATGCGGTTGGGCAAACCTCAGCGTCCTGTGTATGTAACACCCCGGACTTTAGACAGAGTCACACATCGGCAAAACACAAGAGGGATGTTGGGTGTATAAGTTAACAAGCCTTTAAGCCCTAGTGACGCGTTTTAAACCTATGAGGGCCTAGGCCCAGAGCGGACTATATCACTAGCGGGCTGGGCCCTAGTGACGCGTTTTAAACCTGTGAGGGCCTAGGCCCAGAGCGGACAATATCACTAGCAGGCTGGGCTGTTACACCTTGGTTACGCATATTGACTAGCTATGGAGAAAGACAATTAAATATGAAGCGATTGGAGATAACAACAAACTTTCCTTCAGGCCTTTGAGAGACTTTTTTCTGTTTTATCCCGAGATTCAATAAGAAGGGCCGTCTAAGTGTAGGCTAGTAGGTTCAGTGGAAGTTAATTTTATCAGGAAGTAAGAAGGTAGTATTAACTATCTATACAGAAAGGCAATTAAAACTGAGTTAGAAGTGATTGGAGATGGATAAAGGAAGGTAATACTAACTAGCTATGGAGAATGTTGAGTTGTGTCCCACATCGGTGGTTTTATGGGTATCTTGGTCTCCTTATATGGTCTTGGTCAATCCTCACCTCACAAGCTAGCTTTTGGGGTTGAGTTAGGCCCAAGGTTCATTCTTATCAGAGAACGGCAATTAGAACTGAGTAAGAAGCCAGTGGAGGTGGCTACAACAAACTCTCCTTCAAGCCTTTGAGAGAATTTTTCCTGTTTTAACATCTGAGAATGTCAATGAGAAGTGTCTTTTAAGTGTAGGCTTGTAGCTTTATTGGGAAGGTAATTTTATCAGGAAGTGTTACGAATAAAGTGAAGATAGCATAGTTATCTTTTGAGTTGAATTAATTGGATTTTGGAATGAAATACTTTCTTGATAAGTCCCACCTGCAATTCGATCTAAGTGGATCACAGACAACGGACTATTTTGCCTAGTTTGGTCCTAAATTGGTCGTACAATTCATTTTGGTCAAATCATCTCAATACATTTTACTGATCAAAGAAGAATCTAAAGAATCTTTAAAGAAATGAAATTAGTATTTGATAAGAAAGATTTACTGTTTGTGAAACTTTGCTAAAGAAACTAGCATTTTCCCTCCAATTTTGTGTGCTTCATATATATATANNNNATATATATATATATATTCATATATATATATATATATATATATATATATATATATATATATATATATATATATAAAATCTTGCAATTCTTGTACGATTTCTACAATACTTATGATCTTTGAAATTTTTTGTAATTTGTAAAATATCAAAATGTAAATTTCACTGATCTTATGCCCTTTCTCTCAGGTATATTAGATAAAACTCTAGTCTCGCACCACATCCTTTTAAACATTGGCGCACTTGCAAAGTCTCTAGTGTATTCCTGTGCGATCTTGCTACTTCTTTGCAATGCTACTGTTTTAGGTTTATTTAACTTATGCTGTAATGACTGACGAATTCACAAAAGAAAAGGATTGTGATTGACCAGCCTTGATCTTTGATTCACATTATGAACTCAACTTAACCTTCAAATGTTTGTGATAAACTTGTTGTGAGCTGTAGAAAATATCGAGAAGACAATCAATCAACCAGCAACTAAGCCTTAATCCCAAACGAGGTGGAGTCTGTAAACAAAATACAAAATTCTACCCAACTTAGTCAAACAGTCAAAGGGTTATTTAGATGGTCATGGTCTTGATTTTAGATGGGTATCTCTATCTCAGAGGTAACTGAAATGACAAATTTAAGTAAAATTGAGTAAAAAAGCATACCATCTGAAGCAGACTAAAAGCCATGCATGAAGAATAACAATGGATTGAGGGAAGACAGCTATGCTATGGATGATACGTAAAAATCACAAAGACACATAAAAATATGTAAATAAATACTAACAGATAAAACAGAATGGAGAAACATCCAAAATAGTGTATAGCTTTTTGAGTGAAAGTCAAAGTAAACCTCAAATGTGAGTTTGAGTGCAAATTGAGTTATTTCCGTTATTCTTCAGCAAACAAATACTTCCATAGTCAACTATCCTAGTCCTGTATTCGATTTGCTTGAGTCCCTTCCATCCATTTCTTCGAGTCATTGTTCCACACAGCTGCACCTCTCCCTTTTTGCCAAAAAATGATGTATCATTTTTCTTTCCCCACTTTGGTGGAATTCATTTACGTAAATCCCTAAAATAAGCATCATTTTTTGTCCTCTCTTTGGTATAGTTTTTTTTTTGCAAAACATCCCGGTGCATGATATTGTTGCTTTCTGTATATGGTTGAATGATATGAGCTGGGACTAATTCCAGCATTAAGTTTTCTTTACAAACTTTCTGCTCTGTTTTTTTTTTTTTTTTTTTTTTTTTTTTTTTTTTTTTTTTTTTTTTTGCAGCTGTACTTTCTCAGAGAGCATCTCTATCGTTTATTCTCAAAAAAGAGAACATCTCTATCGTTGAGTTTAGGAGTGATCTTGATGGTTTTTTACAAATGTGTTTTTTGTGAAATTCATTTACATGATTTGTTAAATGCTGATACAGCTGAGTTTAGCTAGAATGACACCATTGAAATAGACGGGGCATTACACTACCAAGAAATAACATTTTACCCATTCACAAGCTGCAAAAATGCAGCTCCCAATCAACAAATTGTCTTGTTGTGACATTGTTATTAACTGGTTGTGGATCATTACTTGTCCTATAACTTTTGTTAGATGAGGTATCTGCTGTAACATTCTCGTTTAGTCAGTTTAGAGTGTAGGAATATTCATCCTTAGTGCTTGCAGCTGGAATTTTCATTCTTATTTCTGGATCAGTAAAGCAAAAGGCTTAGTTCTTGAATATCAAACCTGCTTTTCTTGTTATCTGTTCATTTCTCAAGGATTCTGATCAGAGTTTGCCTAGTACTCAACTTATCGTCTCAGTTAAAAGTCCAAACTTCCTTCTAGTTTGTCGGTGCACATCCCCTTGGATTGCTTTAACAAGGTTAATTATATATGTGCACAGGTAGAGCAGGTGGATTCTATGGTATATGAGCTTGCAGATGTAGTTGGTAACGAGCGTGCTTTACTTGACCATTGTAACGATCTCTTGTCATCACTGACAGCTCTACAGGTAAAGCTGAATTTCCTTTATACCTAAAGCTCTTGAAGGAAACCATTTGAGAAATGATCATTTCTATGTTGCCCTTGAGTTGAATAGTGTGCTTTTCAGGAGTCATACTTCATATCAAACGATCTATTCTAAACTGAAAAAAGTTTGTAAAACAGGTGAAGGAATGTAGCCTGAGGACACATTTATTACAACTAAAAGACACGGTTTCTTGCTCAACAACAGAAGTGTAACGCTGATCTTTTTGACTGCTTAACGGAAACACTAACATCAAAGGAAGCTCTTCTTTAACCCAAGTGATGGTGATATGACAAATTGGTTTCTTTTATAGCTAGAGTTACCTGATTCAGGCTTGTGGAATGCTGCAGTAATTGCATTTTGTATGCATCGTGAGTAGGAAATTGCTGCTTTTATGTTTCATAGCAGCGCTTATATCTTCGGCTTTTAGCTTCAGGAACATTTATAGATGTATATATACTTCCATCTTTAAAAGTAATCCCTTCAATGATAAGTTGGATAAAGTAATAAATGGGAGATCTTTGAACACGCGTTGGTAACTTTTGAAACTTTTCATACAAGGAATTGTAGAATCAGCGTTTAACGGAAGTAATAAAATAAGGTAATTTGTTCAAAAGAAAACTAAATTACGAGCGGTTAATAAATTAAATACATATGGGTTAGTTCTTTATTAAAATACATACATAACAAGCCTTATGAAATTTGCAGAAATCTTTCATTTATGCTTTATGTTTTCCGTATCTAATCTTCTAACCACCCAATCGGTAGTCCCGTCACTAGAATATTCAAATGATAAGATACTTTGCAAGTGTAGACACTTAAATGTGAATGGTTGCTTTAATTTATGGCATTATCAAGTAGTGGTTAATAAAAATAAGTGTGTTTAAGGAAAAAGAGTCCATTTTTCCTGGGTAGCCGCCAGCTTGTACCAGCTTGTTTTCATGCTCCAAGACTGAGGCTGCCCCAGAAATAGCATTGGAATTAGTAGAAGCGGATCCAAGATTTTAAATTCTATGACTTCAAGATTTCGATTTTAACTATTGAACCGATCACCTTGTATGAGTTATGGGTTCGTAGCTCAATTTTTTCAATAGTTTTAGTGATTGTATACCGTCTAGAGTAAAAGTTATGCGTTCAATTGAACCCATAACTAAACCGTTGGTACGCCCTTGGGGAATAGGTGCTTTCGGATTGAAAGCTGGGTTTGCTAAAACTTGATGTATAATCTTGTTGCAGTTAAGGTTTCCAACATTTTTTAAAACTTTTGTCTTTTGTATTTTGCTTAATTAGGCATAAATCCAAGTACCTGGAGATTACGGGTTCGAGTTTCTTGCAGAAATGCAGGGTAAGGCTGCGTACAATAGACCCTTATGGTCCAGTCCTTCCCCGAATCCTGCCCTCTAGGCATAAATCCAAGTAATTGACCCTAAACTTTTAATAACTCGTATTATTTTATACGATGATATTGACTAGACATTGAGCCTAAAATGCTAAATTTGAACTATATTTAGCACCTTTTTTGTATAATTGAGGGAATTCATTATGCGCTGATTTGGGAAGAGGAAAAAATACAAGAGTTTAACCACATATCTCAACCATGGTCAAGTGTTTGTGGAGAATAGAAAACAAAACAGAGGGACCTACCCAAGCGGATGCGGCGAGAGGCAACCGCTAGCGAATCTGCTTTTGTCCGAATAGAAGGAGGAAGTAAATTCAAGTGACGTGGTTCCCACTGCTGAAGGTGGGAAGCTAAAATGTGGACCCCATGCTGATGTGTACCGCATGTCTTTTGAATAGGCTTTTCTCTCTCCCACTTCTCCTTTCTCTCTTTCAACCCTTTTTCAATTCTTCCCTTCCCAAAAGGCACATGTATATATCATCCCAACATAATAATTAGCTTTGCTTACAAAAATTCACATATTTAAAGCCTATACTACTACTATATAAATTGTTGCCACATTACCAAACGAACAAAAGAAAAACGCGGGAAAGGATTACTCTTTCTATTCCATTGATGTGACGTAAGTTTAAAGAAGAAACAGATATTTGAAATTTATGATATTAAACATGTTATCACGGAGAAAAAACGTTAATGCGTAACTAACCGGAGACGATAATATGTCCTCAAGAAATAGGGATTGGAAATGGGTATATGTGAGAGCTGTTTCAGAATTAATAGGTTATAATTCATCTTTTGTTACTTTAAAAATTGTGAGAAAAAACGTTGCAAAAGATAAAAAGATAACATTTTACTTATTTAGATATATTAATAAGGAACACGGGCGAAGCTTCAAGCACCTACAGCCAAACAAGAATGTTCAATTGAACAGCCTTCGCCAGAAAATTAATGTATACATAGGTCAATTTCTATTATTAGAGTACAATACTTTGTTCCTTTCCCTTGGATTGAAGTTTGTTTTTATAAATGAACTTTATGGATACATTTGCATGTTGACTATCTATTGGTTGTGATGAAAGGTGGTCCTTTGATGGAGCTTTGGCAGATTTTTGATGTTCTCCACTTATATATGAGTTCTTTCCATCTTCAATGTATAACCCTTTTATGTATGCAATTAGTTGAGTGTGACTGTAAGTGATGAGATTTGTATAGTTCTCTATATATTATGATGGTCTCATTTACCTCTTTATTGTGACAGCTCATGCTTAAGCTTTCAATAAGTCCATGATTACGAATTTACTTTATGTGTCGAATACCCAATTGGAGACTTGGAGTAATCCTTATTCAACTTGGGAGACTTTTAGGTTTAGTTGTGCGTTACTACGATTAAAACATAACCCTTTATCTTTGAGCACGCACTTAATTGGTAAAGTAGGAAAAAACTAGTGTAAACTTAGGAAAATTATCAACTATGTCCATTTATAGGTAGCTCATTACAAAAATTGGCCAATTGATAAAATATTACTAATATTAGCCAATTAGCTATTTGTAGCAAAACAATATCAAATGTTTACTTTGTTTTGAGTGGGTGTTATTAGAATAGATTGGGCACAACTTAAGGAGCTTGAATATCAATTTTGGGATGATTTGGTGAAGCTTTGAGGTGGTTTGAATTGAAAATTCCGTAAAAACTGAACATGAAAAATATGATATGTGTATCACATTGTGTATCATTTGTGTATCACATATGTATCATATTTGTATCTATTGTGTATCACATGTATATCCATGTATACCTGTGTGTGAGATACATGCGTGATGCATGTTTGATATATGTGTCGCAGAAGACTTTTTTGAACTCGATTTAATTATGAATTTTGATACAAAACCAGTCCAAATAACCTCCAATCCTCCTCAAATTTTGTATATTGACTTACCTATATATTTTCAATGAATTTCAACTATACCCATTGAAAAAGTTCCTTTTTTGTTTAGATTTTTGGAATATTGTATATTTTTTGTATTTCATCACCTTATTTACTACCTCGTCCATAAAATTTCCTTTCGGTCTTGTATCTAGTGTTGCTAATCACGCTTAAAAATATGGAAGGTGATTTTTGCATGTGATTCTTTGAGAGAAAGAACCCTATTATTTGGTTTTTCAATTTTTGTTGGCTAGTTTTGGTAAGTCTATGATTAATGGCTAGAGGTTGGTAAGTTGAGATTTGTTTGGGACATTTGTGTAAGTTTCCCGTAAACTTATTCTATAAGAAGTTTCACAAAACTAAATACATTAATAAGAAATATTTATAGTTATGCAAATATTATTAGTTTGATCACATTTAACGTTCATTATACCAAAAAGGAAATTAAACATGTAAATCCTCAATTTGAGAGGTGAGAGTTGAGACTTAAACCTGAGCTCATAGGGTTTTCAACTCAATTTATTCTACTAGGTCACACTATTTGGTGCTACTCAAGCTATCTAGTATCTATCTTACTACTACACTTTATATAGAAAATATTTACAGTATCTATTATACTGACTGTGAATATATTTTCCTTTTGGTAAGTAGTACTTAGTACTCTTGTATTTAGTGAATAAAGCTAATGTATGTTACTTCTTGGATGATATAATATATATGGTTACAATCAAAAGGAGAATTATTACAAACTTAATTGATTGTGTAAAATAAAAGTAATTGGAGCACTATAATGTTTTGCAAGAGACTGAAAATTAGTGCATAATATGTAACAACACCACAATCATATAAGACGAAATAAAAAGTATTAAGTCATGTTTTATTTCATTCATATTTATTCAGCCAAAAAAAGATACGTCAGTATTACACAGCAACGTCTCAACCAAGTTAGGGAATTGACTCAAGATCTCTAATATTTAGAGATCAATTACAGTTTCCGATTAAATTCCAACTGAGTTCAAACTCAAAACATCAAACTCAACTGGAAATTAACTATTATTATTTCTACTTCTAATTAAGTCTCTCAAACGAAGAGATTAAGAAGTTTTGGCTCTTTATTACCACTATCCAAACCCAGTGACACATCCGATAACTCAGTCTCCGAACCTATGGACGACGTCGTATTAAATCTCTTCTCCAAACCGACCCACTCCGTTGTATCGGTGTGATCCGATCCATCAATGAATGATCCGGATTTGTTTGAGAACTGGTTTGGAGTATCCCACGCGCCGCCGCTGCGGAAGGATTCGAAGGTCTCGTCCATGTAAGGCGTAGGAGTGAGAATTCCGGCAAAAACTGGCCGTAGATTGCCACCAACGAGAACCGTCTCCACCGCCTTTTGACACACGTGCCAGTTACCCGTCGATAACAGCCCAACCGCACCGGTCACCGGATTCACCGTCCGCCCGCACGCTTCGAACAACAGCGATTTAAACAAAGCTGTTAGAAAAGTTCATCAATTTATCAGCCAGGTATATATCCATTTTCCTTTTCTTTTTTTTTTTTCAGAAAATAAAACTCAATAAAATAAAAAAGGAAATTCGTATTAGGGGCGTGTTTGGTAGCAGTACCAGGTCTTCGATTTTCGGGAACAGCGGAGATGAAAGCCATGAGATCGCTACGGCCAAAAAACTTGGAAACAAAAAGAGTAGCGTTACCTTGAGCGCGAGGATCATCAATCCCATCCAAACACGCCCTTAAGGTACAATTGTCACTGCATCTTCTTCGTAATACTCTACAACCATTGCAGCTCATTTTTTCTAGGAGAGAACTATATTTTCTATATCAAAGTCCACCTTTCTTCACACTAGGGTCTACGAGTAGAGAGAAATGGGTAAGCGATATAATATAGACAAGTGAAGGAGAAAGAATAACTATGGTTAAGCAAGTGTGGTTAGTGTAGTAGAATACAGTGGCTCTACTGTATCCAAAAGCAGATTTAGAATTTTATGTTCGTTAATGTTTCAAGTACTATAAGTATTAAGTAGGAGTACTTTTTACCTAATAATAAAGCACAACTCGACAATATTTTTTATTCTTTGGTAGTGTTGAAAGGACACGAAGTTCAAGATTTTTTTTCACAAACATGCCATATAGAGATATATTAATCTCTTCGCGACAAATTAAAAAGAAATTTGTCACATAAAATGATTGAGAGGAAATAACTATGTAGAAAATGATTTGCAATATTATATTTGTTGCCATAAAGTTCATATGTGGCTCTGTAGCATCAAAGGATGTAGTTTAACAGTTGATAAAGTTAAAATAAAATCACACTAGATCATAATTCGAATTTTAATAAAACAAAAATTAGATGGTTTATTTTTGTTTCTAAATTTGTGCAAAATTATTCAATACTTGTACCAATAAGAGGATGCGAATACAATAGTTGCTCGAAGGGGAGCTTTAGAGCAATGGTAAAATTGTTTTTGTGTGATCTATATGTCACGAGTTCGAGCCGTGGAAGCAGCCATTAATGCTTGTATTAAGGTATGAGGAAAAAAAGGAATATGAAGCGTCTACATTTTTTTTCCTATCGTGCTCCAAAGTTTGGGTTCGAACGGCTCCGTGTCTCCGCAACTTTACATCTCAATTTAGAACCTCTACCATTGGATATTTGGATTAATGGATTCTCCCTTTCTTTTGTTACTTTATTATCACGAGATGACATTTGACTCTTATTGTCCTTTTATTTGTACTACTGGCCTACTTTCTATTCATCCAATAGATCAACTTGAAGGTGTTTTAAGTTGGTAATCTCTTACACCATTCCTTTATTTCTTCGATTTGCTTGTTAGAACTTAAGAATAATTCTCTTTTGTCCTGCTTCAATTGCCAAGAACAACTCATAATGCTTACTCAACTTTTGAGGTGTGACATTTGGTCCTCCTGAAGTTGTTAATGCAAATATTAAAAGTTACATTACAAAAATATATTACTTTGTTCGTCTCATCTATATATATATATATATATATATATATATATATATATATATCTTTTTTCTCCTTTTTTTTTTAATTTAAAGACCTATTTTTTGATTTATGTCCTATATTAAATAATTCAAAAGTCACCTTCTTAAAAAGAAGATGTGATTAATGTGGAGTATTAAACATTAGTAAANGGAGCTTTTGGACAGCAGTAGGAGCATTGGGAGCTGACTTCAGTCCAGAGATTCCCGAGGTAGCCTTGCTGACGTCCGCATGGCCCGGAGTCTCTCTTATCCTTGTTTTTCGTTTGATTTCCTTTGTATCGGATCAGACAGTACTGTGTTTTTATTCAGACTTTGTATTTAGCATTCTGTAGAAGTTCGTGAGTTAGTGACACCAGATCTGGGCAGAGATGTATTTGAGCTTCCGCACTTGGTTTCAGTTATTTATGTTTTGAGACTTCCGCTTTTATATTAATTGCCTCATCTTTCTTTATATTGTTGATGTTGTCAAGAGAGGTATTAAATTAATTGGCTTGCCTAGCTCCTATTAGTAGGCGCCATCACGACTCCCGAGGGTGGAAAATCCGGATCGTGACAATATATATGCAAGAGGAGCTAGAGCCGGAATGCACTTTAACAAGGCATTGAAATGGCTTCTCTTGCAACAACTTTGTTTTGCTTACCATGGTTTGAGCCATCTTTATGTCAAAGTCATTAGAGCGAAAAAAAATCTATGCTAAGGTATGTTAGACTTCTATCCTTTAATTTTTTTTCTTTTTTTCCCGGACAAGTAAATACACTACATGTTTTAGATACTTGAAATACTTCTATTTTAAACTTTACAATTATGAAATCGAAGAGAACTTTGGGGCTGAAATATATATATATATATATATATATATATATATATATATATAAAAGTTTAAATATTCCTTGATGTTTCCTTGCACTNATATATATATATATATATATATATCTTGATGTTTTCTTGCACTTCTCATAAAATATTTAAAGTCTCTCAAATGCCTAAAGTTCTATTGCATCCTTTACTTTCTATATGGATATTCTTCGGATAACACTATCACTTGAATGAACAAAATAATTTTAACATTTATGCATCAACAAGAATGAAAACTAAAACAAATGAAATAATAAATATTCAGAACTATTTCTACTCAAACCTTTCTCATACCTTGTAATAAAAAAGTTAAATCAACGTATTACAACGCCAACTTTTCATATTCCTTTTTAATGGAATAAAAATTAAAAAGAAACTTTTGATTCTCAAAATTTATCTCTTTCTTTCCTCCATCCTCCGTCCCCTACTTTTTTTCTTTGTTCATATTTGTTAATTGATTTGGTTAATTCAAAATAAAGATGATTTTAGAAATTGTTACAAAATCGTAGAGAATTTAATATTTTCATTGTTGTCCATATGTGTTTATGTACAAAAAACTGATTGCAACTTAAATTGTCATTCTTTTTCTTAATTTTCTTCACTTTGGGCTTATGAGTGGTAATATATTTTTATACATGTGACGTTGCATTTAAGCACTGTGATGGGTATTTAAAAAATATGGACAGGTCAAAGGACGTAAATTATTAAAAGCCAGTGTTAACCACATCCGACAATGAGACAGGATGAAACTCCGAAGTATGCATTTGTTAGCTCGAAGATGACATAAAAAAACATATAACAAAAGCCAAGCCAAGTGACAAAGATACTATATGGTGCCAAATACTGTGCATCGCTTCCAAGATAAAACTTCTCAAAACATTAATTGGGAAGATTCAGATGATTTGTATTGGGACTATCATCAGTTGTGTATAAGCAAGAATACCATGATATTTTCTTTTTAGTAAAGCTTTTGTTTTTATTGTCATATTAATTTTACTTTCTTACGTTTTTATGATGTAAAAGTATGGATTAATTTTTATTTTATTTTTTTTGCTTATCAACAACTAATTTTTTTTTATATTGTATCTCTTTTTTATTTATCAGTGAATTTACTAAATCTACCTTTCAAAAAATATTTTTAATGACCTCGCGAAGCGTGGTCAAATTCACTAGTCTCTCTCTCTCTCTCTCTCTCTCTCTCTCTATATATATATATATATATATATATATATATATATATATATATATATGTGGGAATAGGCAAGGTGACTTGGCATCTCTCTTTGGCCAAGGATGCTATTTATCTTTTTTCTCCTTTTTTTGCCTTTTCCTCTTATTTTTATTTAAGTAAATTAGATCCATAATAGATTGAGTCTCTTTGATTGCCCACTTTTATTGTACTCTTTAAACCATTCAGTTTTAAAACTCCAAAAGTCAACTTCTGAAACCTTACTCTACCGTTTCAATACTTCCTTCTTCCCCTATAATTGCTTATTAATTGATATATTAACATATGATGTTTTGTGCTTATTTGGCTTATATATTCAGCCCCATTACCAGCCAACAAAAGCAAATTTAGGAATGAAGGTTAGTATATAGCAAACACTTCTATGAGTTCTTTGGAAAGGTATGGATTTTTGGTGCTTTGGAATAAAGTAAAGCTGTAAAATTATGTGTTTTTTGTTATCGGGGATGCCTTTTATCTTTTGTTCTATTTTAAGAATTTTTTAGGTTTTGCTTTAAATACTTAGGTTCTGGATATATAATTGTTATTACGAGCAATTGCGCAATGAAGAGATAAGTTGTGGCGATTTGGAGATGTAAAGACTGCGCCAAGGTAGTGCTTATACATTGAGTTAATACTCTCTATAATTAATTAATCTTCTTCATTTTCTCCTTTTTTGAAATAGCATCGTACGCGGTAATATAATTTTTTATGATATGTCTGCGGAGTTGTGAGAACATATTTTGCAATTTGAATAACACCTTGATTTAGCTATCGTGGAAAAGTGGATATATTCTAAGAAAATTATTGTCGTTTCATCTTTGATTGCACTTGAATTTTAGAGTACTCTATTTCAAGGAAAAAATTTATTATCTTCATTTTCTTTTCTATATACGTCTATTACCCAAGGTAATTTTCTGATTGTGATTCATCTAGAATATTGATATATTAACCCGAACTTGTGTTGAAGTTGAGATTTTTATTGCAGGACTAACAAGTGATGCAAAGATTTTATCCTCATTAAAATGTAAGAGTAAATATAAAATTTATAACTACTATTATTATTATATTATTATATTACAATAAATAAAATATATTATTTATAAATAGCATTTAGCCGTAATTAAATGCAAAGAATTTAACGTGAAACTCCAGAAGTCTCTAATTAATACTTTTTCTCATCTTCTCTTCTCCAATGTTTTCATATATGAATTTGATTGAAATTTCAAAAGTATATATATATATATATATATATATATATATATATATATATATATATATATATATATATATATNNTTGTCTATATTAGTTTTAATTTCTTACGTTTTTATGATGTAAATGTAAAGATTTTTTTTTTTTTTTTTTTTTTTTTTTGCTTATCAACAACTAAATTTTTTTTATATTGTATCTTTTTCATTTATCGGTGAATTTACTAAATCTACTTTATAAAAAATATTTTTAATGACCGCGCGAAGCATGGTCAGATTCACTAGTTTTACATGATAATATTTGACTGAGACTTATGTATTATATAAGTAGTTGTAACGAAATATTAATTGAAAAAGAAGTATGATAAGAAAAACATCCCATCAAAATTTACAATTGAAAAGTTTGAAGAATTTGAGTCCTTAGAAATTGTGCAAATTACATAAAAATGAAATAATGTAAAAAGTTTTAGGACGTCCAAAATGAAAAACATTGTTATCTTAATTGGGACGTGGATTGAGTTAAATGTTAAAGGTCGCTTTTAGGTAAAAATTACGATTAGGCAAGACAATGTGAGAGATCATATTTGAGAAGCCAAAGCTAAAGGTGATTTAAGTACTCAAAAAACCTTAGGTAGTCATACAATTAAACACGATATTTCGAAGTGATTTTGAAGCTCTTGTTTGGGTGCTTACTTTTTATCATAGATTGATGCAAATCCTTTTTTTTTTTTTTTGTAAGTTGATATTGTGTATACATAAGCTACTTTCTTCTGGTGTTTTATTGTAATTTCTTACAATTTAGCTAATTGAGATAATTAAAATAAGAGCTAGACTACACCTAATGATATTTCTCAGCTCCTCACCTTTTGATCTGAAATTTTTCATAAACGCTCAACTTATCCAGATAATTGTTTATTATTCATGTCAGATATATTCATTTGTCATATTCATACGGAAT